TCCAATGGACTTACACTTTTGTCATCAAATATAAAAACACATGCATGCGATTTGTTTTCGATCGAAAAAAGTGTTATTATTGGAGCGGTTTATCTATGATTTAGTTCGATTGGATGAGTAAGGGAAAATTGTAATTGTGATAAGTTGTAGTTTGTATTTATTATATTTGTATTCGTTTCTCTCGCTCATCTCTAGCAGCAGGAACAAAACAGTCGCAGTAACTTTTCAGCTTACTTTTGGTAATATTCGCGCCTTTGTTTGCACAACAAACACGCACACACAAGAAGCAAGCAGCACAAACCACACCCCTCAAACGTCGCATAATTGCATTTGTCTTTTTTCTCCCTCTCTCGCCGTGTGTGTGTGTGTGTGTCTGAATATTTAACTATACGCGGCTTTTTTATGATGTGTTATTTAAATATCGTTAAAGCCGATGCCCATTGTTGCTGCTATGTGGCGTGTTTGAAGGAAAACGCAAACGCTCGCTTATTTTTCATAATTATTTTTGCCGTTCGTGCTCCACTCCTTTTTCCCCTTGCAGCGTAAACTTTGCTGTTGTTGTCGTTTTGTGGAGCTTTTGCGTCACACGCGTCGTATGCGTAATGTTTGAAAGGTGGCGTGCGCGTTTTTCTTTTTCTTTCAAAGTTATGCATACGCCCCGTTGCCATATATGCTTGTGTTAGTGTGCATGTGTGTGTGTGTGAGAGAGAGAGAATTTTGGCACACATTTCACATCAATTAAAGTCGCGCACATAAGCGGGTCACATAAAGTGTTATTCTTATTTTAATTATAAAACTATAGCTTTATGCTAATTTCATGCCCCCCTCCCCACAGTTGCATTTCCGCTCGTAACTGCATTTTTATTTGCTTACTTTTGGGACCAGAAACAAGAGCAACAACACACATAAGCCGCTTAGTTGCTTCTCCTCTGCGGCGACGAAGCCTTCACCAACCTCCAACCTCCAAAAACTCATTGCATCGACCGACTCGACTGAGCTATATGAGTTTTAAATATTTGTGCACAGAGCTCAGCCAAAATGGTTTTAGTTGCTCCAATTGTTGTTGCTGTTGTTGGTTTGGTTTGGTTTGCTTTGGTTTCTAGTTTTTAGTTGAAATTCATTGAGTTGCACTGGAAACCATTCAAAAAGGCTTTATCGAAAATCGCGCTAATTGTTGAATTGCATTCTATTGGCTGTTAAGCGGATTTGGTTCTCAAATTGCATAGTTGTGTATGTGTGTAAAGCTTTATGCAGTTATTTTTGCATTTTGATGGATTTTCCTGCTCATGTAACTAAGCTAACTGCCAAGATAAATGTCATATAAATAACTCTAATTGAAATGCATTTCCATTGGCTATTTTACCTCGAGCTCTATGCCACACACTGGCCAGGCTTAGACCCAATGACAACTTAACACACATATACATAGAGCCAGCACAAACAATGGCATAGGCTCCACTACGGGCGTATGAGTTCACGCTCGCACACACACACACACACACACCCACCCAAACATTTCCATATGTACAAAAACCTAATTACCTTTTAGAGAATGTGGCAAAAGCGCTGTCAGCAACAACAGAGAGTGCAAAAAAATTGCAATGCAATTACATAAATACAGTTTTCTGTTACTAAAAACCTCATATAAATGCATGGCACAAACAGCAACACACACACACACCCAACAGATATGCATGTGTACACTCAGAAAAACGTCGGTTTCACTTTTTAAAAGCAAAAGATAATAAGAAAAATGTTTAACTTTATTCCTGCATTTGTTAATTGCAAGTATTACAAACAGCTACGAAATTTGTCTATCACAGTAAAGAGTTCGAGAATCGCAAACTTTATGCTTGATTTTGTAGAAGTTAGGAAGCAACGCTAAAGATGTTTAATGATTATCTACATATCTTCTGTAATGTACGCAGCTAAATACTTTTTTCTCCTATTCTACTAATTACAAATTCTTCTACTAGTAGGATTTTTGAAAATGGAGATAAGGAGCTGCAAATAAAAATTATACTTTGATTAGCTCCAAAAAGTTTTGAAAAAAAAGGCCACAAGTAACATGAAATTGAGAATGTAGGGCGCCCACCTTCTTCAACTCAGAAAACCTACAAATAATCCAATCCAAAACAATGTAACCAACCATAACATAGGTACAGATAGTAAGCATAATTACTTTTGGTTACAATTTTTAACGATTCGAGATTGAACTAGTGATAGTATTAGTATATTCCAATGTTCACGTATTCTGAAATTACCAAAGAATTAAAAAGAAACTCATTATATCTGGTACACAAAGGGTATACTTTATCGTGGCAGACCCCCAAAGTACAATACTTCTGTCTGTATGTATGAACGCAATGATCTCGAAAAGTATAGGAGCTAGAATAATCAAAATTGGTAGCCAGCTCTTCCTGGATACGCCAAAGGACTAGATTTTGTTTTTCACATTTTTTAAAATGAAAATTTACCATAAATATTCTAAGTGTACGGGTATTCATGTGCTCGTGTCTAGTGCCGCTCCTTAGACTCAGATTTCAGTTGACAAGCTGCCTCTTACTTGGCTCATTATCAACAACATAATCTTAGAAGAGCTAAAGCAGTCTACCTTGATGTTTGCATGGATGAGCGAGTGTGAGGGTGTGTGTGTGTATGTGTGTGTGTGTTAATGATAAGCAATACCAACGACAACGGCAATTGTTGCCCGTAATTAACAAGCGCCCACACACACACACACACACACACATACAAGGGCAGTGGCGCTCACTCAAACGTGACGTCACGCACAAGTGAGAGTGACAACACTTAAGCGTTAAATGCACCCAACTTGCCAGCTCGACGAGGCCAGGATGCAAGGATTGCCGGCTGTTGCCTGCCTCCTGCTTAACTGACTGACTAACTGACTGAGGCGCTTGCGTGCCTTCTTGTTGTTGTTGTTGTTGTTGTTGTTATGGCCGAGTTTGTCGCGAGTTGCGAGTTGCGTTTCAGGTGTCATTGCGCGTGCAACGTGGCGTATGCAACATAACTTCTGCCCGTTCGCTGTCACAGCCACAAACAACTTCACACTTACACATACATTTGAAGTAACATGTGCGAGTGTGTATGTATCTGTGGAGGCTGGTGTTGTTTGACTCTGCAACGTGCTCGTGTAAGCGTGCATGTTTAATTTGGCATTACATACAAGTAGTACCCATACATAGTCGTATGTGGTGGCAGGAGCTCGGTAGAGTATGCTAAATGACCTACAATTAATACCCGAAGATAATAATAGTGTACTCGTAGATATCAAGAAATATGACTATTACATACATACATTGTATATGTAGATCCGTTTGACAAAAACTATCAAACTAAAATTTATAAAATTTGTCAAATTTAGAAATTTTGTTGAATTTAGAAAATTTGATTCGCCATTAGGGATTATCTGATCAATAATATAAATCCGGGCTTCGTACTGATGCTAGTTTGTTGTGATTGCCTTAGTGCGAGTGTTTTAATCGTATTTGCCTGTTTATGTAAATAAAATATGAAAAAAGTTTAAAACTTATTGTTATTTAAACATAAACACCCCGGCCTCTTCGCATATTTATTCTATTCTACGGCTCTAGGGGGCTTGGTTAACTGCATGAAAAATATTATTTGTATTATTTTGTATTTATTTATATTAAAATGTTTCATTTCTGTGCAGCACGCAAAAAAGTTTTCATTGTTGTTCGTGTTTATTTATAAACGTTTAGTTTTTCTCTACTACTATCTGAAGTTATTCTGCAGTTTTGCATTCTATTGTACAGATGCCATATAATCGATCATATATGATGTGCAAATAGTTCCATTTTTTACACATTTGTGTTTCGCAAATACACTTTAAAAACAAGAGCGAACGCTACAGACGAAAAAATAAAATAAACACGTATTGCATGGATTTTCTAAGAGTCTACATACCAAGTTTGGGTCAGTTTGGCTTCAACCGTCTACGAATTGCAGGCGTTCATCCAGACAGACGCACTTGGCTATATCGATTCGGCGAGACGAATGCTGATTAGGAATATATGTACGAGTATATTCTTTATGGGATCGAAAATGCTTCTTCCTCTTCTTTATTTATTAATATTTGTGTGTTTTTTCTAGGCAGATTTTTAGCGGATTTTCTATCCTTTCTCTAGCTACTTATAATTGCTTTTCTTGCCATTTTCTAGCGGCTATTCATTCATTATTCTATTCATAGCGGGTTTGCCACTTTCCAGAGTTTGTCCACCCAAATTTACAAATTAAATCATTTGAATACAATCATTAAGCTTCACTTCTATCGCGTGTCGCCCTAACACACAACATTTTTTATGAGATCATCAGTGAATTGTAGAATTAAGCTCGCAGATGAAACTACCTGCGCCTGATTGGGAGCCTAGGAGTCTAGGACCCATGCGTTTTTCGGCTTTGTTGCTGCGAAATATCGCCAAATACTTGACTGAAACATCCTTACGGGTGCAGGGTATTACAAGAGTGGAACTCGGCCGACATCCACAAATGCTGTGAATTTTAATTGCTGTCGCCTGCTCGGCCCCCCGTCCCCCCCTTCTCTCACTCTCTCTTTCCTGCACTCTGGAGCTCATTTGTTGTGTAAATTATAACTACATTGCGTTTTAATTACACAAAAAGCAGTAGTCACTTAATTACTGTTATTATTTGCGCGGCCCAGCGCTTGTTGTTAATTTTATTTACAGGCGCATATTTAATTTTAGTTTAGTATTTATTAAGGTATTATTTAAGCGTTAATTATTTTATTTGCATGCACTTTATAATCACAAATGATGTAATCATGTACTTTTATTTTGTATTTCTTTGTTTCTCTCTATTTCTTTGCATTTTCTTTTATTTATCTATTGTAATTGCCTGTCGTCTGCCTGCCTATTGTTATTGTTGTTGTTCTACATACTGCCTGCCATACTTGTTGTTGTACTTGCTTTTGTAATCTGTAACTTGTGCCTGTGACGTAGTATTTTGGAGAACAAAATCAGGTTTGTAGCCATGCCGAGAGGTCCTTGAATAAACACGCAATGTCGCAAGTCGCTCTCTTGCTTTGCTTTCCACTTTTTATTGCACACTGACTAAACTTTTGATTTGTTTCTTCAACTTCTGCCCTTGTGGCCCGTCCGGCCCTTTCGCCCACTTGCAGGCAACAGTCGCTGCTGTCGGACGAGCAGGCTAAGGAAGTCGAGCAAATACTCAACGCAGCGCCCGGTGTGGGCGTGGCAGTTGCTGCCGTTGTTGCCACAGCAACATCGCCGACCAGCATCAAGAATCTCATTGAAGATTTGCCAGCGCAATCAGCGGAGAGGGCCAAGGGAGAGCCCGCAAAAGAAGCCCAGCAGGAAATACAAATTGCAGCTGCTGCAATTGCTGTTGTTCAAGAAGAAGACGACGAAGACGGAGACGACAACGGAGACGACGTAATTGGGGAAAAGGAGCAGCTGAAAGAGGAGCAGCGCCAACACGCAGAGCGCGACGAAGACAACGATGACGATGATGACGATGAGGATGATGACGATGTTGAAGCTGTGGACATTGTAGGCATTGGACACGCTTCTTCATCTTCACCTGCCATTGGCTCAAATTCTGTTGCATTGAATGCCGCCTTTGTCAAAGCGGACAGCACGGAAACCGATACAACAACAACCACAACGACAACAACGCCATCAACAGCGACTGCAACAACAAACAACACCCGCCACGACGATGATGAGCCGGAATGGCTGCGTGATGTGCTAGAGGCGCCCAAGCGTAGTCTAGAGAATCTTCTAATTAGCACAACCCCAACACCAGGAGCATCACCAGCAACACCAGCAACAACTACCACAAAAAGTCAACGGATTCCGCTGGAAGAGGAACTTGAGGAGACCTACGAGCTAGGCGGCAAACATTCCGATTTAAATCAAACCTACATCACTGGCAACGAATCGCTGCACGAGTCCATTGTATCCGTGGAGTCCACACAATCGGATGCCACCTTTAATCAGACCACAACCATCGATGATAGCATCATCTCCAGCAAGCACAACTCCACCTACTCGTTAGCTGACGTCGAACCGGCCACAAACTCGACCTTCTTGACTGGAAGTGGTGGCGCAACCGAACTCGACGACAGCCAGTACTACATACCCGAATACCCGCCGGTGCGCAGCAAGGAGGTGCTTGTGGAGGCGGGCGTACATTACTTCGAGGATGGCAACTTTTGGATGGAAGTGCCAGGTAGGTCGAAGTGGTTGGCTCCAGTCGTTAATCGTTGCACTAAGCTCGCCACTTTCAACCTTTTCAAGGTCTGTTAGACTTCGATGACGACGATTGCTCCTATCCGCCCATAACTGTGCGCAAGAACCCCAAGGTGCGCTTTAGCTCCGGACCCATACACGTCTATTCCACATTCTCGGTCACCGACTACGATCGCCGCAATGAAGATGTCGACCCTGTGGCAGCCTCGGCTGAATACGAGCTCGAGAAGCGCGTCGAGAAGATGCATGTCTTCCCCGTGGAATTGATGAAAGGTCCTGAAGGTTTGGGTCTCAGTATTATTGGCATGGGCGTTGGCGCCGATGCAGGTCTTGAGAAATTAGGCATCTTCGTGAAAACAATTACCGATAACGGCGCAGCAGCGCGTGACGGTCGCATACAGGTATGTTCAGCAATTCCCCCGAAGTTCTTCCATGCCTCTAACTCTCGATTTGGTGCAGGTGAACGATCAGATCATCGAAGTAGATAGCAAAAGTCTGGTAGGTGTGACACAAGCCTACGCAGCATCCGTATTGCGCAACACATCCGGTCTAGTCAAATTCCAAATCGGACGCGAACGCGATCCCGAGAACTCGGAGGTAGCGCAGCTCATACGACTGAGCTTGCAAGCCGATCGTGAGAAAGAAGAGCGCCTAAAGCGGTCGGTATATAAAGGCTTCCCCACCGATATCAGTTGCTCATAATCCCAATGTCTCGTTTTAGCCAACAAGAGGAGTACTTGAGACGAACCCTCGACTATTCCGAAGACTCCACACAGCCCGTCTCTGCTAATTCGAGTGTTTGCGAAGGTCCCTCCAGTCCCGTGCAGGTCGAACATCCCATGGAGGTGGAGGCTACGCACTCACAGGAGGTAGAGTCGCTTAAGCGACTGCTACAGGAGGTAAGCGTGACAGTTTCGATGGAGTCTCGTAGAAATTTTTAATTACCTTGCAGCTGTGCTAAAATAAAAATCGTGTTCTCTTTTTCTCTCCTTTGCTGAATTTCAAAATTCAATTTTACTTCGCGGATATATAATGCAACTGTATTTGATTTTGAAATGCAGCATAAAGCGGTAATTGGTTTTAAAAGAAATAATAATCACAAGAAAACTCTGAAAATGTAGAGCACAACTCGCCAATAATTTAATTCGATTTATTTTGATTTTTACCAACTTCAATTTTAATTTAATTAAATGAAATTTTGGGTGTAATTTTGAAGACCCGCAAAGTAGTCGAATATACATATGTTGTTTGGGGCGAGAATTAATACAAGTCGGTAAAGAAATCGATCTAGACATGTCCGTCTGGCCGTCCGTCTGTCTGTCCGTCTGAATGAACGCCTGGATTTCGGAAACTGCTGAGCGCACATTCACCAAAATTGATATGCGGACGCTCCAAGCTCTTAGGCAACCCCAGTTTATTTTAATTTTTTGATATTGTAGCTGTTATATATTTATGCATTTATATAGATTTGAATTGACTTTTTATTTGCCATAACGTATTGTTTCCTTACTTTTATCATTAATTTTTTGGCAGAGTGAAATGGGTTGCCTGCTCAAGGACGAACTAATACAGAACCTGAAGCGGAAGGTTTGTTTGATTTGATTTTGATTTCGTTGTTACAAACATCAGTTGATCATCCATTTCATCCATTGCACACAATCCGATTAGTGAAGCTGAACCCGAAACTAATCCCATCTCTTTCTCAACCTTCGCTCGCAGCTGGTCAAACTAGAGACAACTGGCAATGAGAACGAGTTGCTCAGCGAGCGTTTGCGCCAGAGCGAGCGAGAGCTCGGCAACATCAAGAAGGAGGCTGCGAATCTGCAGAACATGCTGCAGCAGTCCCAGGCCCAGTACATGGCCTTGGACAAGAAGTACAACAAGGCGAAGCGTCTGGTGCGCGAGTATCAGCAACGGGAGCTGGACATGTGCCATCGCGAGGAGTTCTATCAGCAGCTGCTGCAGGAAAAGGATACCGAGTACAATGCCCTGGTGAAGAAGCTGAAGGATCGCGTCATCAATCTGGAGCATGAGCTGCAGGAGACGCAGCGCAAGGCCGGCTTCCCAGTCGGCCTGCCCTATGACAGTGCCACGCTGAAATTGACGCCACAAATGCTGCGGAAGACGCCGCCGAAACCGCTCTTTCATAAACTGGAAACAGAGCTATCCGACACGGAAATATCGGATCTGTCGCCAGATGGCGATGGCGTCAAGACGGCCACCGTGGAGCGCAAGGTGCCAGTAAAGGATGAGCTGGATGCGGCCGTGCCACAGCACGAGCTGCTGGACAACTCTGTAAACAAGACGAAAATCGAACTGGGTGAGTTCTTGAGATTTCCTAATTTCCTATTATCCCATTGCTCATTGAATCACTCGTTTTGCTTTGCGCGCTTCTTAAGCTGTAAATAAGGCCAACATAATTTATTAAACCACCTTTATTTCATGTGTCCAATTTTTTGTCTCTGTGCTAAATGTGCGCTCTTTTTCTTTTCTCTCTCTCTCGTTCTCGTTCCCGATTTCTCTTGATTTGGTTTTTTTTTTAAATATATATAATTTTTTTTTGATTTTATTGTGCCGTCTGTGCGTTTGTTCGTTGTTTTTTATTCGACGTTTTTCGTTCGCTTCTGTTTCCATTTTCTTGTCGTTCGTTCGCTCGCTCGTTCGTTCGTTCGCTCGATCGTTGTATTTTGTGATTGCCACGCCCACCACTTTTATTATGCCACACGCTGCGCCCTCATTTTTGCCTCTAAAAAAAAAAAAACAACAACAAAATACTTCCCAAAAAACAAAAACCGCACTCTGCAAATCGAACGCAACCCGCAACCCGCAACCGAATCGAATCACAAATCACGTCTAAACAAAAGCCTCCCGTGGTGGTTTAGCCAATCGCCAGCTGCCGTCCGCCAATGGCTCCAATGGCGCCGCGAATGGCAACGGCAATGGCAGCGAACTCAGCCAGCAACTGGCCAACGGAAGTCTGGCTAAACGGAGTCGCAGCAACAGTCGAAGCTCGGATTGCACGCTGGACGACAGCGATGAGGAGGACTCGGCCCTGAATTTGGCAACATCTGGCGCACATGACACCATCAGCCTGTCGAACGGCAATTCGCATCTGTTGGCCAACGTTAACAATTTGCTGCAGCACCATCCGCCAGCCTCCAATACGCCCATAGGGGGTGCAGTTGTTACTCCCACGAACGGGCATTTGGGGACCACGACCGCCATTCTCTTGAACTCCACATCGTCGGCTTCGTCCAGCTCGTCAAATCAGTCGACGGCACGTGAGGCACAAATCAACCAGCTGTATGCGCAGGTCCACAAGGATCCGAGTAAGCAGCAGCAGCAGCAACAACAACAACAGCCGCAGCAACAACCACAACAGGCCGCAGTCAGCAATTTGCCGAGCATCTTTAAGAACGTGCTCGGCTCACCGGCAGACAATGGCGGCCTGAACGACTTCCACCGGGGCAGCATGACAACCTTCGGCACTGGCGCGGCCAGCAGCAGCAATCGAGATCTGAACAGCAGCTATGACTCCATACTGGGCTCCAATGACAAGTTGTCGGAGAACGAGCAGGCCGAGAACTGGATGTATCCGAGTAGGCGACGAGTGGCGCCCAATGGCAGTAAACTGCCTTCGTCCACATTCACCGAACAACTCAGTCAGGCACTGTCCGATCGTGAGAGGTGGGTTCTAGACAGACAGAAAACAAATCACACAGACATAGACACAGACACACACACAAAAACCATTCTGAAATGCAACTGGTTCAACTGGCTCAACGTTGCACTCTTACAGGCGCCTGGGCGATGGATCCTCGCGGCATTCCAGCGACGATTATACGGAGATCAACAAAAGTCAAAGTGTGGCGGCGATCAATTGCAAGACGTTGATCAATGAGATTCGTCAGGCGGTGAATGAAGCGCAGCCAAAAGGTGAACTATGCTAAACGAATAGAATTGAATTGAATTGCATTGATTTGAATTGAATATGAAACGGTTTATTCCAGTAGTTGATCCCTCAATTAGAGATGACACGACTAACCTAAAATTACAGACCCCCCACACCCCACCCCCTGCTCGAATCAGATAATACGTAGAGATACGAGCATATCGTCATATTGTCATATTCATACACAAATTCCCAATATACTTACATGCATAACATACATACATACATACATACATATATGTACATAAAGGTGTTGAAGATTTTATTCGTTAACTGTTATACTATGCGAAAGTGTTATAAAATTTTACTAATCGAAACTTTTCAATTTGTGGCATTACATAACCCGAAAAAGCAACAAATTACTGTTCTATGAAACTGTTATACAACTAATAACCATTTAGCTCTTAACTCATAACCCATGCGCTCTCTTTCATGCTCTCTATCTCTCCCCTCACTCTCTCGTTATGTGTCTTATTGAAAGCCCGTAATAATCATATGCTCTCTTGCCTGCTCTCTCTCTATCTCTCTCTCTGGCTCCATGTCCATCTAATATAATTGGAACCTTTCCATAACAATATACTATATGCTAACTGTGGAATTATATTCTCTCCCCTCTCTTTCTCTCTCTCTCTCTTCCCTACCACTGATTTATACACTAACACCAACAACGAAATACACAACTAAAGTTAAACAAGTCGTACCACAATCACTCTCTCCGCCCGGCACAGTGCCATGGCAACAGCAGCATCAACAGCAGCAGCAGCAGCAACAATCGGCGCATGCTACCGGCCCCCCATCGCCCACCAGCATGTCCTCGGGCTGCTCATCGCCCGGCTACTCGCCGAGTCGCACCCTCGATCTATCCGGTTCGAGTTCGAGTTTCTCGGATCGCAAAGCGGCCGCCGGCTACAACTATAAGGGAGGTCCCGTGCACGAATGGAGCAAGGAGCAGGTAACTACACATACACATAAGTCTACAAAAGCGGAGCACACACTCACTCCAACCTCACTCTTATACTGCAGGTTGGACACTGGTTGATGGGCATTGAATTGGAGCGCTATATACCAGTCTTTAAGGAGCACAACGTTGAGGGTGGCGCCTTGCTCACGCTCGACTCGAAGGACTTCAAGACTTTGGGCGTGTCGGGAGATGATAAGCATCGCTTGAAGAAGCGTTTGAAAGACTTGAAGGCCAGCATCGAGAAGGAGCGCAAGGATATGGAGAGAGAGAGACGCGAACGGGAGAAGGCCATACGCAAGGCCGAGAAGAAGGCGGCCAAAAAAAAGTAGTTGAATTTTAGTCCATAAGTAACAAAGTAGCCAAAAACCAAAAGCATACAAAGTAATAGTATATGTATACATAGCACACGTATATATACCTACATATATAGATATATCGTATGACAGTTATATATAAACTATATATATATATATATATACATAACGTCTAGTTTAATGCATGATGAAGAAAAAGGAATAACAAAACCAAGCATAATTTATTTGTACAACAACAACAACAACAACAACACATCTATTATACATACGTACTACATTTTAACTTATTGAACCTAATGGAATTTAGTCGTAATTATTCTAAAACAAGGAGTACGAGATGGAAACAGGAGAGCAGTGAGCATTGGCAATGAGCAATGGGGGCGTAGTTCGGGGCTACCAAAAGAGTAGCGTAGATGTGAGGAACAGACAGACAGACACAAACACACACACACACACACACACAGTAACAAGAAGCTATACTATAATCACAAAACTAACAACGTTGGACTGACTGATTTTTATGATTAATTTTAAAGGGTATCCACGAATTCTTACGCGCCTCTCCCTCCTTTCGTTCATCTTCCCTGTTCTTATTTGTCTTTTCAAACCAAATTAAACACTACGAGCAAACGAAAATTGTATAACACTTAAGGAATTCGCTGAACAGACTTGAACAGTATAACAAACTGCTTCAAAGAATTTATTATATTACGGAAAGGGAAAGAAAAATATAAATGTATTAAATTTATATTAACATGATTAGTTTAAGCGATAACAGCGAAAGCAAACAAAGCATAAGATAAACGCAAACGTCTTTCTTTCAATCTAGTAACGCATAATTATTAATACTATACATACTATATATACAAATCTACTGTGTAATTTAAATATAGCTCATATTCTCGTATTCGTATTCTATTATAGTAGTTATAGCAGCGATTGTATTGTATTGTATTTGTATTTGTCAAGGCATATATTGTATGGAAAGTGTGTGCGTGAGTGTGCGTTTACTTTTATGAACATGAATATTATTATTACTATTAACTATTACACTACCCCAAGCTAAAGTATTGTATGCTATTCTATTCTGTGTGTACTGTGTCGTCTGAAAGTCATTCTAAGTACTTAAGTAGCGCGCTGATTTTAGAATTTGGCATTTTCCTGAAAACTGTTCTCCTTGTTCTCCATCCAGCTATCAAGTTATCAGACGTAATAATTGAGAGCACTTGGAGCAGATTGTAATTTGAAACACCCTCTTGATGCAACTGATTTGCCTGAACAGTTTGCAGTTTCCGGAAAATTGAAGCAACTATATTTTGTAAGCGACATCTGTTTCTTAAATTACCTTATCTTTTGAGTTCTGTATAATTGTGTATAGTTATATGTTTTACTGTGTTCTCGTATACTTTTATAATTTGAACCTTGTATTTGTGTTTGTCTACCTAGTTTTATTTACTCTAGACTTCAAAATCAAATTTCTGAAATGCGTTGCAATAAAATAAAAGGAATATTTTAAACCAAAAAACAACTCGGACTCCATTCGCTTACCAAAATAAAAGGAACCAACTCAAGAGCAATAGATGGACTTTGTTTCCACTCTTTTTCAAACTTTTAATTAACAATTATATAAAACTCAACGACCGTAAACAGTTTTTTATCAGGGATCGCAAATAGGGATTATTTTGTTTTTCCAAAGCGAAAAAATCATTAATTTTGAAAAAACGATGTTTATACCAATATCATTATTTTAGGATTATCTATCCATTCACAATGATTTCAAAATATTAATTAGTTCTCGAATTGAGATTTATATAAAAAAATAATCACTAATCATTATTTTATGAGTTTTATTATTTTGCTTAAAAATAATGATTTGTGGTTGAGTTGTAAAGTGTAACTCCAAATTAATCATTATATTGTAAGCGAATTTGACCGGGACTGGTTATAACGAACAACATTTCTTTAAATAAACTAGTCCGGATCAAATTGGATCAGTTGGATATGCCAACTAGTTTCGTCGTAAAATGTTGCCAAAAAAATAGTCACATTTTTTTCAGTATTATATAAAAAGCCAAACAATTTTTTGCTGTTTCTTAATCTTATTATAATTTGTTTGCTAGTTCTACAAAAAATTTGTGTTATTTTTTAAACAAATGTTTAGCATATTTATTGAACATTGATCTGTTTTCGAATTTACTTAATGGGCTAGCTAGCGGTAAAGGAATTCCTTAATAGACATTAACTATAGAGGAAATGCAAAATCAATTCTGGAGCATTTTCCTACTATACGGTTTTTCCAAAATAAGATCTATAAAGAAACCCCCAACCCTGCGCCACAAACGTTGCTTGACTTTGATGTTTTGAGAAAAGAAAAAAGGAAAACCAAATTTAGCAACTAGTCTTTTTGTTTCGATTACCGTAATTAGCATAACTAACTTATAATACTTAACAAGTTATATATATGAATACTCGCTCTTTCTTTTAAACAATCTCTCTTCAACTCTCTCTCTCTCTCTCTCTCTCTCTTAACTCTTCTCTCTATATTTGACTCTTAAACACCCGGCCGGCTAAGGCGGGCGCTTCACGCGCCCCAAACCGTCGGCGGGCAGCGCATATTCACCGCATGTGCATTAGTCACTCGTCTCGTCGCAAGTCCTTAATATAGCTTTTGAAAAGCTCGCCTCTAACAGTGCCCGAAGAACCGTTATAACTTACAAAAGAATAAAAATTACCATAACGATAAATAAAAGTACATTTTGTGGATGCAGGAAGCATCCAGTCGAACACGTTTGTTGTTTCATAAAACGCTCGAACGATAAAAAAAAAAATTCAAATACGAGGTGTTGAAGCAGAACGTGGGAGGCATTAAAATTAATTGAAACATTACAAAACAGCAAAATGAAAACGTAATGAATATATTTATATAAATTTTGTTATTTGTGACAGATGTTTTTCAGTTGACGTTTATTTTTTGGGTAATTGTTTTGTACACATTTTTTACATACTCTCGTATATTTGAGAAAAAGAAATGACAAAAAAATACGGACAAACAATACGAATATCAGCTTAAAACTCACGCAAAACACTTTTAAATTAAAAAAATAAAAATAAATAAATAATGTATTTTAGCTGCTGCCTTGAAATTCTTAAAGAGGTCAGCCAGCTTATAAAACACAAACACACACTAACGGAAAAGCAAAAACCAAAAACAAAACACCTATGAAACACATTCGTGCCTTTTTCATTGCGAAAAACCGTCCCAACATAAAATGCACAAAGGATTGTCTAATCTCCAGAGAACGCAGAGGCTGTCCCATCCGGAAGAAATTGCAGAGCGTCTCTTAAACACACACACAACACTCTCTCTCTCTTTGTCAATGAAACGAAAAGGAATCCCACAAATGCCTTAACAAAAATCGTAAAATTATATTACCCATTAGATATGATTATGAGTTCTTAGTTTGCTTGTAGTTTTGTAAAAGTTTACAATTTTCGATCGTTTCGCAACCAAAGTCAAAACTGTTTTTGTGGCGCATCTTAGACCGGGGTTTGACAATATTTATTGATTGTTTGGAGGGAAATCAATAGTTTAAGGTCCTAATACCGCTAGCCCTTGAAAGTTCTTCATTCAATTTATCAAAAGTTATAATTAAAGTCAATAATAAAAGGCAATATTTCTTAATTCAAAAAACAATTTGAAGCATTGATCACAAAAGTAACTGTCCTCATTTTGGATATCATCCGATGGAAAATTGATTGAAACTAAAAAATAACAAATCGTCTGAGCTTTGGGTAAATTAAATTGAATAAATTTATAAGTCAACAACCAGAAATCATTTAAAATCCTTATTTAAACTCATAATTACTATATACATAACAGTACATACATAAAAAATTCAATTTTATTTAAAAAAAAGTAATGGCAATTTCTTTTAAAAATATATAATTGATAACAATAACCACAGATAATATGATAGCAAACGATATATATAATATATAATAAACATTATTAACGGAATTTAATAATATCAAACAAAAAACGTTAATCTCCGTTTGACAAAAATATACACCATATGGATCCATTTTGAATCGAGAAAGTCGGCACAACACTTATCCAAGCTCCCTTCACTTTTCACCTAATTTATCAACATGAACTATTACATATTTCCAAAACTGACCATCTTATTGTTTGGCATTGGAGAAAACATTAGTCGAGCCAAAAAAAAGAGGTACTTTTCTACGCACAGAAATGTAGGTTTTCAATACCAATGAGTTTATTTAATAGGAGTCTAATATTTTGGTAGAAAGCATGCGTGGATATTGAAACTGTTATGAAATCTGGTTTCCCTATAAAATATTAAAAAAAAAACTCTGAACTGTGCGAATGATTTGTGCTCTTCTTGTTGGTTTAATTTTTCTCCCATGCCATTGTATCGTTTTGAAAATATGTAATAGGTATGTTAATAAATCGTTTTGTTTCAAAAGTTGTTAATAATAAGTCTACACTGTTACATAGCATTAAAATAGAAATGGAAATACGTTATTTTGTTTTATTTTTAAATGAAATCCTTAAGTTTTCGTTCGTTTTTTTTTTTAAATTTATTATATTTTTTGAAAAGTTGCTACAAAAAACACTTAAAAGTTCACAATATTATCTAAAATCAGCTGCTGCTTCATTTTTTTTGGTACCCCTTTGGAAAATTGCAATAGAACTTAGAATTAGTTTAACCAAACAATTAATACTACGACTATGTACTAGGAAGAACTTTCGCTCTATTAAGCTAAACGAGATTAAAGCAAACAAAATTCAAACACAAATTCAAATTCTGAGCAAAAACGAAAAGTAATTAAAGAAATCATCTAAAATCATTCAGAATTATACACACAACTCAGCTAATGGATTACGAGTATATTTCCAAAAATAAACGTAAACATTTAAAATGCAAACACTCTCTCTCTCTCTCTCTCTCTCTAACTGTTTATGTTGTGGTCAACGGAAAGGAATATACGAGTACAGTGCGTTCCATATTTATAAGACATCGATAGAGTTGAGGACAAGTTTCCAATAGGCTGTCGCAGAAAATTCTAGTCTAGCTTGCTTAATATTCTATTATAGTTGTATGTCGTGGAAAAGAAGGTGTTTTAAATATTTATCAAAGCTTGTAAGTCTCTGTTCACGTTGTTAGATTTAAGCGACTGTCTCTGTGTGGCTTCAATTAGTATTTAGACAATTCCAAGTAATAATCAACTCAACTAACGTCCGATTAGTGGCTTTAAGATTATGGAATGACAAAAATCGCCAAAAAAGTCAATCACGGATCGCAAAATAAAGGTCCATTTTCCCGGAATTTTGCACAAAGATTCAATGGTTAATTCCGAGTATGAAAATCTGTATCTGAAAGTTCTGGTCTCTGCCAATTTGTTAATAATATATTAACAATAAAGTGTCTTGTAAATACTGAACGCACTGTCTACACAAATTCAGGCTGCGGGTGGCCTGAGCGGTCAAGTGATCGGATCAGATCGAGCGGTTCGTTGTCTCTGTTATCGGTACAGCGTGTATTTATATATGTATAGTATACTATATATACATATATTTGAGTGTGTGTGTGTGCGTTTGTGCATTGCACGACGTGTGTAAACAGCGATTAAAAACAACAACAACAGTAAGAATGACTACAGAAGCAGCAACAACCAGTTTTGTACTGATCTCCGTTTATGTTTTTTTGTATTCCGTATAATTCCGACAAACGGAAGAAGCGCAGGCGCAACCGTCGGCACCTTTTTGTAACGCTCGCTTATCAAATGTGCAGTCCATACGTGTGCGTGTACGAGTAGATGCCTAAAATATTTCGCCTCTCGAATATTCCACTTGCATGGAAAGTTTTTTGTCTAACATCTGTGGGATGTTATTCCCTTATCTATCTATTTGGAATTTTCCATGCAGACAGCAACTATGAATTGAATTTTGAGAAGTGCTGCTGTGAGTGGCTTCTGTTCGCCGATTGCATTCGGAGAGGGAAGTTTGGTTTGGTTTGCTTTCTGGTGTTTTCTGAACTTATCCATTCGCCAAACGATGAAGATGTATTTGATGCATCGAGCAGCTAAATTTCACAAAAATATCACCTCATACCTAAGCATTATACTCAAGTTTTCGATGACTTCGCCAGCTTCAAGAGTTTCCAGGAAAAAATCTAATTTTATATCTGAGACTCTTAGAAAGCCGCTAAATCTGCCATCCAAAGACTATCTATGTATCTCGATAGAAGCAATTCAAATATTTTTTATCTTATTTTTTTTGTAAAACTGCAACCAGTTTTAGGCGCTTTAATGGCTACACTTATCCTGCGCCTCATTGGTCAATCGAAAGGTAGTGAACAGCACTTTCCGGATTTTTATTCAGATGCCAAACAAGCTGTTCATAAATGCATAACTTTTTGGCTTTTATGAGAATTATTTCCGAAATTTTTAACTGACATACTTAAA